TCCACCAACATCTCTAGGCAAGAGAAGTTCTTCTGTAATTCACCCAAAGATGTCCTACATTCACATTCTGACTCAAACCTATGCTATAGACAAGATAAAAGAAATCATTTTTCTATAAATTATTTATTCAAAAATTCCTGGCTACATTAATATCAGGTTACTTTAATTAAGGTTAAATGAAAATTGAATGTTTTAAATTATTTAAATATTCCATTTAGCTAATTAGTCCTCATTAGAGGCTGCTCATTTTTAACATGCTAAAACATTTGGTGAAATTCTTCAAGTCACTTAAGGAACTGCTTAAAATTCAGTTCCCAGAGTATCTCCACAAAGAGCTCTCTTCTGCATTTTCAATACCTTTCCTTTACAAACCAAAGAAGAAAAAAAAAATGATAATGAACAAGGCTGAAAATGAAGACCCTATATGTTATCCTTTCCAGCAAACTGGCTTTTTGTGTCATTAATGTCCAACTCTATACCCATGATCACCATTAGGAGGGACACATAAAGTTTATAAAATTAACATATTTGATTTCTCTAACTTTTTAGCCAAAAAAATATGAGCCAAATTATTAAAAGTAAGCCTCTATTTGTATTACAGGGCCCAGTTCCAATAACAAAGAATCTGCCTTTCTGGAGAGTTGTATGTTATTTGTAGCTTAATCAAATACAGATAAATCTTTGAAAGGCTCTCTTTTTATGGGGCTATTTTTGTACCACAAATGTGTTAGCCTATACACTGATCTTTACTCTGCCTTGTGAAATCATAACCCAAGGATAAAGTACAATTTCTTATCATCTCCATTTTATTAAATTCTTCATGCCTTTATACTATTAAGTTCTGTTTTAAAATCAAGCAGAAAATTCAAACTTTCATTCTAACAGCCTTACTTTATGAGAACACTTTGTTTAATTTGCTCTACCAGAGTCTCAGCAGGTTGCCATTTCAATCACAGAGTGCTATCATTCTTTTAACACTAAATAAACATCTGCACAAAACACAGCTGTGTCTAGAGTACCCATAGACCGATATTTAAAGAGTCTATTTCTCAATTCAAAAGTAACAGGTTCTATGGTGATAATTTAGCCAGAAAGTAGCATTTCTTTTTGTTTGTTTGTTTCTTAGAGATGAGGCCTAACTATGTTGCTCAGGCTGGCCTTGAACTCCTCCCACCACAGCCTCCTGAATAGCTGGGACACAGGTACGCACCATTGCACCTGGCTGGAAAGGCAGCATTTCATTTTAATATTCAGCAAATAATTACACAGAAGGCTGTATGGGTACTGTGTGATCATGAATATAAATACACTCCTTCCTTAGAGACATGCACATTATTATGTGACAGTCAAGATCTTTCCTCACCACAGGACATCCTCCACAGACAGAACCCAGGTTACGACAGGTCCTTCAAGGGGCTTTGCAGTCTCTCTCACCCTATACTTCCAAGACGCAGAGCTATCTAGATGGAGTCATTGCATCAGTCCCTCTCCCCTTTTTCCTCTCACCTTCAGTGTTTTTCTACCTCCTTGCTGCTCATTTCCACCTCCTACCCTTGCTCCTCTCATCCTGGGCCTACCTATGAAATACAGACCTTGATGTCTTCTCTTCCTCCCAAATTTAAGAACTTTAAATTTATGTGATATCTAACAGTGATGTAAATATCCCTTCAATGTCTTAAATTCAATCTGGCCAAAATAGAATGCCTAATCTTCCTATCAAAGCCAATTCTTCCACCCCACTTCTTATCTTGGTTAATGGCCCCAGCAGGCCCACCTTGACCCAGGCTGTCCTAAGGACTTCTTTGACTCCTCTTTTTCCTCAGCACCCCTCCACCCCACCCTCCCGTGTTCTCAAGTCACATGGACTCAAATTCCTTCTATCTCTATTGCCAGCATCTAATCGAGGCATTTGTTTCTTCCCTCGGAACATCTCAGAATTTTTCTAAGTGGGCTCTTAGCTTCCTCTCCAATCCGTTTTGAGTAATGCTATCATATTAATTTTTGAAAAAGGATATATGTCCTCTAGAACTAAATGACTTGGTTTCAAACTCCAGCTCAGCTACTTCTTATTTCTGTGACCCTGAGCAAGTTACCTAACTTCTCTGTGCCTTATTCTCATCTTCAGATGATAGGATGATAATAATACCCGTTTCACAGAATTGTTGGGAAAACAAAATGAATTAATAGTTTCAAAGTACCCTGAATAGTATCCGGTACACATTTAAATACTCAATAAATGTTTCCCATTATTTGCAATTAGCACAAATCAAGTCATACTATGGCTGCCCCAAAACCCTTAAGAGAGTCTCATAGTGTACCAAGGAAACTGCAGGTTCCTCATCCTGGCTTCATTCTGCCCCCAACCGACCTCTCAGCTCGATGTTCCCCATCCCGTACATGTGACCTGTAAAGACACCAGACAAACTGGAGGACTTACCGTGCCCTAAACACACATCCTGAGCCTCCCTCCTCACCCTTGCTGTTCTCTCTTCTCAGATACCTCCTTTCATGCCCCTGCCTGACAAAACCTTGCCCATCCTTCAAGACAATCTTAATTCCTCCATGAAGCCTTTTCTGACTCTTCCACCAGATATGTCTTAACCCTCTCCTGTGAATTCCTCTCCTAACACACAGGGGTCATGTTTCTCTTTAGGCAGTTATCTTTCATATACCTCAAACCGCAGCCCTATTATTCTCCCTATCAGCTTGGAACTCCTTGAAGGTAACATGGGTATTCCTATTGTTTTATTCTCTGCATCACCTAGCACTGTGCAATAAAATGGGATAACAAAAAAGATGGAGATGGAGGTGTGGGTAATCAGAACCACAGCCACTACTGTGGCACGGCAGGGCAAGTCCAAACTAAGAGAAGTACACACTCTACCCAGGCTGGAGTCCTCGTCATCATTTCAAACAACATCCAAACTCACAACATAAACTTAAAGGCTTCTCCAGCAAGTCATTCCTTATAAGACACCAGAAATACAGCAGAATAAATAGAAGAGGAATGTAATTTGTAGGCCTATCCTAAAATACCAACATTAAAATCACACAAAAAACTTTTCTCATCATCAATATTAGAATCAAAAAGCCACTGGGGGCCAGGCGCAGTAGTTCAGCCTGTAATCCTAGGATTCTTGGAGGCCAAGGTGGGAGGATTGCTTGAGCTCAGGAGTTCAAGACCAGCCTGACCAAGAGTGAGATCCCATCTCTACTAAAGATAGAAAAATTAACCAGGTGTCATGGTGAGCACAGGTAGTCCCAGCCTACTGGGGAGGCCGAGGCAAAAGGATTGCTTGAGCCCAGGAGTTTGAGGTTGCAGTGAACTACAATGATGCCATTGCACTTTACCCAGGGCAACAGAGCAAGACTCTGTCTCAAAAAAAAAAAAAAAAAAAAGCCATTGTGCACTGTGTTTAGTTGGCTAAATGTAATTTTATGCTAGATCTACTACCTAGAAATCCCAAGAGAAATGATCCAGACCTCAGCAACTAGAGCTTGTTCGATGACATATTAACAACCTCTAGCATGTGAGTCACTGCAGAATTGAACATAATGACATATAGACAGTCCCTACTCTCAGACTCATGAGAGTAGTTCCTAAACCCTAAACTCACAAAAAGAAAACCACAACAATGCACATTCCCAACAATAGAGTGAACCACTCAATTATCACTGCTGGCAGTGACATCATCCAGGTACATGGCCTCGCATAACTCCATTCTGTCTAGAAGCAGAGTCGTAATCTGACACCAGGGATTTAGACCTCTTTGCCTCAGCAACTCAGGGCATTCAAGAACAGCAGCAAAGGGCTCTTTCATTCCCACTCCAACCATTCAAGAAGCATCCTCCTCTCCAAGAACCACTAGGTAAAACGTTCTGAAGACATCAGTGTCAAGAATCCCCATGATGAAGTAACTATTAAAGATTGTTTGCCATCAAATAAAAGATATGTTCCTGAAGGTCCAGAATACTCACTCTTCAAAGGCCTGGTGGTACAGACAAATCTTTAGGCAAAACTGCCAATATCCCTAACAGAGAAATCCTAGAAAGCTTACTATGGTTCATTTAACTATGTTCATTTAATTGCACATTTGGTTAAGATAACAAGAAAGTAAAATTAAATATTTAAATTGGAATATATCAGACTCCTCTGAAACACCAGTTCTTTTAATAAAAGAAGAGAATCAAGTCAATTCAGCCTTTTTATTCTTATCTGCTGCTTTTATTGGAGATAAATCTCTCTTCAATTAATTTTTTACTATGGCTAAAGTGTTAAGATATCTTTTTCCGTAGATTAATGGTCTTTCACAGAAAACAGTTCCCCACATTTATTTTACACTTCCAAATTCGAATCCCACAGAAGCAAAGTAACCAAAGAAAGTAAAAGAGTACTCCTATACCATTATCTCAGAGCCAAAGAAAAGAATATCATGAAGTTTGGGGTATCCAAATAAAAAATCTACAATTTGTTACTCATAGATGTTACTCATAGATGTGACTCGGATTCAGCTCCCTGTGGCTAATGTGCCTCACTTTCTGAAAACGAGGTACGCAAACAAAAACATCTTGAGATACAACAGAAGTCTTGTGAACTGTAAAGCTTAAGCACACACTGCCCTGTACCCTAGGTGCTCCATAAATACTTAGTGACAGAGTCACAGATCAATTACAGAGTCTGGCAATGACAAAAAGTATGTGTCTCCCTGGTCCCTTCCCACTCTGAAGAGTGTTAGGAATCTACAGTTGCTGTTTGTTGTGGTGGTAAGAAGAACTAATACAGATAGATGTCTAAAAGAACTGAGGTGCTGACAGGTTCAAATTATGTTAATTTTCCCTGCACCTCTCCCCAAGCACCTGAGCCTAAAAAAGTTGGTATTGTCACTTGCACTTTTGGGAGAAAATGAATAAAACTACCGAAAAGGCATATAGTGTTTCCATACCAGAAAGCCAACAACTAAATAAATGGTTGAGAGAGAAAAAACAAAATAGAAACTTACTTTTCATAGACCAGCTCCTCATCGATGGAGAAATAGTGGGTATTTGCTGTGCTTTTTGGTCTATTCCTTAAAGTAGCAAAATATAACCGATCTGAAAGACAAGTTTAAAAGATGGAGAAAACATATGAGAAGCAGGGAAGTGGAGGTGAAGGGTCCTGATAATATATGAAGTATCAAAACAAAAACTGCTACCCATAATTTAAAGGCCCCATTAACACGTGGAATTCTTGCTGAAACCTGATCTCTCCAAGGAAAAGAGACCCAGGAGCACAACAGTTAGAGAGGCGAGAAGAGGACCTGGCCCAGGGACTCAGTAGGGGGCAGAGCTCCTGCATCTCTCTCGTTTCAGGCCAGCCGGAGGAGACAGGAACTGAGGGTACCCGCAGAACTGGAGGTGCAAGTTTTGTTCCGAAATCTCCAGACCTCAGCGGCTGCGGAAGGGGAAGAGAGGCGAGCCTCTGCCCTGCAAGCTTCGGAAACTTCATAAAGAGGAAGGGAGGAGAGACAAGGGGGTGTGGTGGGGGGGGGTGTCCCGAAAACCGAAGCCAGTAAGAGTGGGTCAACCGAAGCAGGATCCCCACAAGCTGCTGAGTGCAGAAACCCGGGCAGAAGCCGGCATTGTCCCATTACCGGGCCAGGAAGCCATCCGAGGGAGCTGCAGAGGGAAGGAGGGACGCAAGAAAGACAGAGAAGCCGGAAGCAGGGGGTCCTCGGGGAGGGCAGAGTGCCGACAGAGATCGAGCACGCGCGCAGCGGCTGCAGGACACTGGGGGCCCCCGGAGAAGCAGGGGACAGCGGGTGGGACGTAGGGGCGAAAAGTGAAGAGTTGGGAGTGAGGAAGGGTTGGAGGATGCCGGGCGGCTGCTCCTCACCTTTCATGAACTCGCAAGCCCCGATTAGTTCCCCTGTCTCCGCTGCCATCTTAAGCGAGACACGCACGGGGGAGGGCTGGGTCGCGGCCAGCTAAGGTCACCCGCCCCCGGGGGCTTCCCCACTGCCCAGGAGCCGGGAAGCTTGCAGTCCCGAACACCAAGCTCGGCCGAGGGAGGCAGCAGGCGCCGAAGGTGGGGGCGGCTGCAGGGTCAGTGCGCCGGGTGCCCCGGGGACATTCCGTGGGGAACCCGAGCCCGCTCCGCGCGGGGCGCACACGCTCGGGGCTGTGGCCGCCCGGATTTGGACCCGGCTGCTGCTGCCGCTCCACCGCCGCCGCCGCGCCTGGGAAACGCAGACCAGCTCTCACAGCCGGGCAAAGTCTTCCCCCGGCTCCCAAAGTGATCATGGAGGAGGAGACGTCTGGCCCCGATCGCGCCCGTGGCTACTCGTGCGACAGCGGGCAGGACTCCGGTGCCCGCGGGCTGGCCGCAGCTGCTCCGGCTCCTCCTTCCCCACCTCCTTTCAACAGCAACTCTTCCTCCTCCTCCTCCTCCTCCTCCCCCTAGGTCCGCCCCCAGACCTTCCTCCCCGCCCTCCCTCAGCCCCCTCCACTTTCACGGCTCCGCGGCCATCCCTTAAAGGGACAGCCTAGCTACTTGCTCAGCGCCACCCCGCGCCCCAGTTACCAGGCGCCCGGCGGGTCTCTAGGAGCCAGTTGCTAAGGCTTTGTGCCGTTCACCAATTGCAGTACAGGAAACGGGGCCCTTGGCCCAAGAGAGCGGGCGGGGCCTCTAGGCCACAAACTTATGAATGAACCGGCGGGGGTGGGAGTGGATGTTGCGGAGGACGCTCTTGCTGCCTCAGAGGCAGGGATGCACCGGCGCCCCTTCCTTTCTGTACCCGCCAAGTCTTCTACTCCAGATTTCTCTCCTGTATCTCTCGCCCCATTCACCCAGGTTCTTCTAAACTCTTGCAAGCGCGCGCGCGCGCGCGCACACACACACACACACACACACATTCTATAAGACCTCAGATCCTCTCTGTGCACTGCCTTACCTCTAGCTTACCTTTCAACCAACCTCCATTCCCACCACCTGGGGGATTTCCATCTTTATAAAAACCAAAATTAAAAGAGAAGCGCTACCTCCTAGCTCAGAAGTACACGTACTGATTTTCTCTGCACATCCTGGACTCTGATACAACTTGTGCTTTGTTCTCACGGGGGAAAGAAACGTTCCCATCTGGTTCTCCACCGCCTGTCATTGGAGCCGCGACAGTGAGCACCAAGTCATCGAAATGCCCAATCTTTATGTTGCGCCGCTCCGGGCGAGGGCGGGGCAGCACTGCAAGGCCAGCACGGGCGGGGGCGGGGGGAGGAGGAGAGGGCCGCTTGTCCCGGGAAAATTAACACAAAGGAATTTCTCTACGTAGTCTCAGCTGAGGCGCTGCAGAAAGGGGTTTGTCTCCGAGAGGCCCTTGACTAGTTTCTCGTCATACTGTGTGAGCAACTTTAACGCAGAGTGTCCTTTTGGGGTGCCTAATTCGCCAGCAGCCCCTTCCATACGAAAATGGCGCTACACACCCACCCTCAGAAGAGCATGCGCTCTGAGTGGTTTCTCGAGAAACAGAAAGGATTTGTGCCGGCCTTTTCGTTCGCGGTCGCTTGTTTACCTCCGGGGAGAAAGCGCGCGACCAAGTGAAGACTCTGAGGGAGCGGTCTGAGGCCAAGGAGTAAAGTTCAACTCTTTGGTCTTAGCCCATTAGCCAGCTAGGCTGGCTCTCCAAAAAGCTAAACAGGCACAAAAACAACACATGAATATTACTTTGATATTCAGAAATATTATTCAGAACATCTCAGTAATTCTAACCAAACATTCCCTTGTAAGAAACAGAACCTATCTTGATGTCCAAATCTTTAAACTCTAAGCCCAGAACCGTATCCATTTAAAGCTGAAAGAATCACTAAAGGGCACCACCCTACCATCCTTAATTTTCATGAGGAAAAAAATATCTCGAAACTGTAAAAGTCCTGAAAAGATGAGATGTTATGAGCAGAACTCTGTTGAGGTGCGCTCCGTGATTTACCAGCCATGACTATAGCTATAGAGTTCTCAAGAAGGAAATATAACTCAAATGTGTTGTCCACACTCAAAAAATTAGCTGAATTTTGCCTGATGTTTATTCTTCAAAATCTCAGGATCAACATTCATTTTGAGAACTCAAATTATCTTACTGAAAAAAATTCTAATTAAGATTTCATATGTGAAAGATACAGAAAAGTATATGACTCTCTCAATAAACTTACTTTGTTTAAAAGACTAATAAATTCAAAGATGACAATCTATTTCCAAAGATGCTGATTAAAATTATTGTAGAATCTAAACTTACTTAATGAACTCTCTAACAATTTTCCATGTAAGTGTTGTATTAGAAAAAGTACATTAGAAATAGAAGTCAGAGTTTTCTTTCAAAGCATAAACTTTTAATTTCATAAAGTAAACAGACTAAAGAACCCCAAATCTACGCTTTCAGAGAAGCCAGATTTAATAGAACAGTCTCTTGTTATTTTCTAAAATGAATTTACAAATATTTTTTTTTTCATATAATTCTCCTACTTAGAGATTTTGGTCATGAGAAATGAATTATGACCTAAGAAATAGAAGTCCATCCATCACTACCAGCCCTGTAAAAAGAAAATAATAAAAAAAAAAAATAGAAGTCCTTTAAATCAAAATGAAAAGGCTTATTTTTCCTTAGCATATTTATAATGTAAATATCATAATGAAATTTTTGAAATGACAAGACTCTGTAAGTTATTGATTTTTTAAAAATATTGCATGAAAGGAAAATAAGCATCTGTAAAACTGAATCTCTCTAAAACAAAATCTGTACAATCTAAACAGTATAGAAAATTTTACAAGAAAAATGTGAGCAAGATAGTACACACATAGCACACATATAGGCCTAGGTTCTAATGAGATCATAAAACACTTTATTCTCTCAAGTGTCATGAGGTCAAAGTTTCTACTGATTATAGTTTCATAATAAAGGCATGCTTTTACAGTCTATGGAGGAAGTTAATGGAAGAAACTTCCTTCCAACCATCCAATGGAATAAGGAATTGACTTCTATTTTAAGCAACAATAAAGAAAGTCATTTCACACATAAAAGAAATACTAAGAGATTTAAAATGTCATTTTCAACTGCAGAAAAGGCATGTAAACATTACACACAGAAATTTAGCAGATAAGTATAGAACATGTCTTGAGTTTGAAAATGACAACATTTAAGTCTAACACTGCAAACTTTGTTTGGACACCAGCTAAGACACCCTTGCAGCCTTTGCTTCTGCACTGCAGGGCTAGAAAACTCACTACTGGAGGCAGCTCCAAATTATGTCAGCACTCTCTGATTCTAATTAAAAAATGCAAAGGCAGCTCCATTGACCACTCCTTCTCCTTAAACTTCCACAGATTAAAATCCCCATTTTCAATATTTTTTTTTTACATTACATGGCTTCAAGTCTCCCCACTTTCCAGTCCAATCTCTTTGCCAAATCCAATTTCCCATAAAGCATGTTCTGGAATTGAATGCAGACAGTGGTGGCCTGGTGTGACCAGTTCTGAGATCAGAAAAAAGCATTGATAAAAAATTTAGATGGGAGCAAAAGCAATGAAAAACACAAAAGAATTAAGTTTTACCATCCAGCTACAAGAAAAAAGGGAAAATATTCTTCTTGTTGGAAGAGGGTAGGGAAAAATGAGCTCAGGATAGTCAAAGGCCATATAACTGTAAGATTTGCATATTCTGTTACAGATTTACATATTCTATTCTCATTATTTTTAAATTATCATTTTTCATTAGAATATATCATTATAATATACTATTTTAGTTGCTTATTCAATAGTGATAAGCTATCTAAGCCAGTAAAAGAAAATATAGAATATATAGTTTGAATTCTTTCTAAAAATTTTCAAATTAAGTATGAAACATGAAGCAGTAGAAATTTGTACTGCTGAGTAGTTTGAAATTCAAAGGAATTTCAAGGAAGAAATAAGGAATGAAACTTAAATATTCTGATATTTAACTCCTTGTCTAAGGCACAAAATAATTTAAAACAACTTTTAGTAAAGTATACATACAAAAAAGTTATTACAATAGAACCAAAACACCAAAAACATAGATATGTTTTTGGCTCATAGTATAGGTAATAAAAAAGCTACCCACAAACACTAAGACCTTGGCCTAAGCCAGTCATACTCTCCATTACACTAAGGATCAATACATGTTTAAGAATTCCAAATCAGGGCCAGACACAGTGGTTCACACCTGTAATCCTAGCACTCTGGGAGGCCAAGGCCAGAGGATCACTCAAGCTCAGGAGTTGAAGACCAGCCTGGGCAAGAGCAAGACCTCGTCTCTACTAAAAATAGAAAGAAATTAGCTGGACAACTAAAAATATATAGAAAAAAATTAGCCGGGTATGGTGGCACATGCCTGTAGTCCCAGCTACTTGGGAGGCTGAGGCAGAAGGATTGCTTGAGCCCAGGGGTTTGAGGTTGCTGTGAGCTAGGCTGACACCATGGTACTCTAGCCGGGGCAACAGAGTGAGACTCTGTCTCAAAAAATAAAAAATTCCAAATCAGGGCTGGGTGTGGTGGCCACCCTCCTGTAATCCTTGCAACTTTGAGAGGCAGAGACGGGAAGATCACTTGAAGCCAGGAGTTTGAGACAGCTTGGGCAACACAGTGAGACCCCATCTCTACAAAAAAAAAGATTTCTTGAAATTTTTTTCAATAAGCCAGGAACAGCAATGCACTTCTGTAATCCCAGCCACTTCGGAGACTGAGGCAGAAGGGTGCTTAAGTCTCAAAGGTTGAGGTTGCCATGAGCTATGTTAGTACCACTGCACTCCAGCATGGGTGACAGAGTGAGAACCTGTCTTGTTAGGAAAAAAAAAAAAAGAATTCCAAATCAGAATAAAAGAAGTAAGAACCAGAAGGGAGCAGGGAGATCAGCTAGTTCCAGTGTTCAGACTCCATTGAGCCCAAGGGATTTAGCAGAGGCCCAACCTGGGGTGGAGGTAGAAGGCAACGGATGAACACTTGAGTCTTCTATGAAAGATTTCATTTGTAAAGGATTATATGGCAAAATACAAGAAAGAAAAGGAAAAGAGAAGAAGAAATTGAGATCCACAGCAGTTAATTGATTTTCCAAAGTCACATAGCTGGTTGGTGATAGAAATAAGACTGTTTATTATTCACTCTAATACCAACCTTTTCTTAATTTTCTCCTAACTTAGCTTAATTTACATTGTTTAGTTTACGGATTCTGTCTTTTTTGTTTTTTGGTTTTTTTTTTGAGACAGGGTCTCACTCTGTCACCTGGTCTAGACTGAGCTTATGGGTGCTTGAACTTTTGAAAGAGTAAAGTAACTAACAATAACAACATATATGCACAATATCTATAACTATTTTCTTAAAAAAACTTAGAGAAAATATTGAAATAATTTCAGTTCAGAATGAAACAATAAAAGATGTTTTAACTGCCATTGCTATTATTCTCATGTGGCTTCTATAAAACTTTGAATTGTTTTTCTGCCCCTATACTTTAAATAGTATACCAGCATTCTACAAAACATAGTTTAAGAAATATTGGTTTAGTGAACATTAAGTAAAATAAGTCAATTCAATAGGCATCTCATCCTTAACTAATGCAATCAATAAATAATGGTGCCGTTTTAACCATAGATCAACTGGGCATAATAAACATTTACAGAACATTTCACCCAACAGCTGCAGAATACACATTCTTTTCATCAGCATGTGGAACATGCTCCAAGATAAGTCTCCAAACAAGTTTCAAAAGATTTTTTAAAAATTGAAATACCAAGTATCATATCTGATCATATGGAAAAAGACTAGAAATCAATAACAAGAGGAACATTCAAAACTATACAAATACATGGAAATTAAACAACATGCTCTTAAATGACCAACGGGTGAAGGGAGAAATAGAGAATGAAATTTAAAAATTCCTTGAAACAAATGAAAATAGAAATGCAACATACCCAAACCTATGGGACACAGCAAAAGAAATATTAATAGGCAAGTTTATAGCAATAGATGCCTACATCAAAAAACTGGAAAGATTTCAAATAAATGAACAACCTAATGCTGCATCTCAAGGAACTAGGAACAAAACAAGTATGCCTACTTTTACCACTCTAATTCAGTATAGTCTGGAAGTCCTAGCCAGAGCAATCAGGCAAGAGAAAAAAATAAAAGACATCCATATTGGAAGAGAGGAAGTCAAATTGTCCATCTTCGTAGATGACACGATCTTATGAACTAGAAAAGCAAGAACAAGCC